TAGAACAATCCCTTCTCGCGTAATCTTTCGCCTGAGATAAGATTCGCGGCAATGTCCGGTACGTAGAGGCATCCTGTGATGAGGATTTCCTGAAGAGAACCGTCCGGAGCAACTAGCGTTCGTGGAACTGTACCAATTGCTTTAGCTTCTAAGAGCTCGCTGTCGCCAACGGAGACAGTGTCCTTATAAGGGCGATGTCCTGAAAAGTACTGCAAGTCGTTTATGCAGTGAACCGAGGCTCCAGTATCAAAGATCCAGCTATTCCGAGCCTGTAAATCCATCTGAGCCGTTCGGTAAATCGAGGAAACAGTAAATGACTTCTGAGGCTTGTGTGCGCTGCTCGAGCCATCGTTGTTATCCTTTTCAAAGTCCGGTTTAAGTTCCGGATGTAGGGTCCAATACTTCTCCTTAGTGTGACCTAGCACGGCCTCCACGGCCGGCCCCTCCGTAGCCACCTCGACCACGGGCATCGCCTCTTCGGCGGTTAGAATGGTCAACGCCACCTCGGCGGACCGTATGCGCTACCTTTGCAGCGTCCTCGGCCTTGTCGTCTTCCAGTAAGGAATGGATGATGTCGTCAATGGCCGGCAGGGACTCTGTAGTCCGTTTAGCAAGATCGTTTCGTTGGATCTTTGCCCAGGTGCTGTACTGTTGGGAAACTCGTGCGATAAAGGAATAGATCAACACCTCATTGTCTACCTTCATATCCAGCATCTTCAGCTCTCCGAGCACCTCACGATATTGGCGACAGAACTCCTCGACGTCGGTGCCGAGCGTAAGACTGTCCCATCGTTCAAAAACCTCCATTCGATGTCCTACTCCTTCAGAGCCGTAGTCCTTCTTTAAAATTTGCTTCTGAATCCATGTCGGATCGTCGGAAGAAGGTCGTTTTGAGTAGGCATCGTTTGGATCGATATACTTCCACCAGTCTTCGCCGATAGCTGACTTCTTCACAAGTGCAGCCCATGCCTTGTAATTGCTTCGACCCTTTAGAAGGGGAATCTTGTTATTGTTGTCGCTACCCATGGTGGAAAGCTGTGTTAAACAACGATAGACAAGTAGAGGGTAACCGGGTTACGCAGAACCCGAGCTCATAACCAGTTGAACAAGGTGGCGAGGTGGAAGGAGACACCGTGTGACATGCGGAATGTCGGTACAGCAGTGAATACTCTATCT